GCCTCCTTCACAGATGAACAGTCTGCTATTCACTTTCCACAAGAAATAACCATGTGCAATAAGTAAACCAGGTTTTTGCATGTTTTGCAAGAAATTAATGTATATATATGTACAACAGAAGGGTATTTTAGACTGCTCCATGTTACTCTCTTTAAAGCCATTTCCATAGTACCACAGCAGATACCAAACACTTTGTTTGTTTAGAGTAGAAAAGCAGATATTACACTCATTAACTTGTGTGATTACCTTGTCGCATGATTTTGTCCCTTTGGTCCAAAAGACGGTATCTCTCTTCAGATGTCTCAGCCACTAATCCTACCAGGTTACTAAGAGACGACAGAGAAGCTCCCAAGGCCTCTGAGCTCTGCCCTTCAGAAGTAGAATCAAACATTTCTGCTTCAAACTGCAGTGCCTTTCGAAGACCAGACTTCTTTGCTGGAGAACTAAAACCAGAAGATATATCATCAGTAATCTATTAATGCATGCCCCAGCCTTAATCAGTTCACTTTTTCTTTAGGACATCAACATCTCTGTTCAGAAGAATATTTTATTCACAAGACGATGTATCAAGTAAGCAAGTATGTATTGAAATACCAAGGTTGTTACAAGCTAACACCAGCACAAGGATTTAATCCTCTTAAATCCTCAGCATTGCCTTGACAACACTGCCAAGCATTCCGGACTGTGGTGAAAGCATCAAACTTTGTACAACAAAGTTTGGTATTACTGAAGGTCTCTTAAGAGTGGATAAAACCAGGTGGCTGCTGCAGCATTTTTTGAATCACCATGGCACATCAGATTGCATTTTAAACCAGGAGCTAGCCTGCTGCTTGGTGTGAAGAAAGAGAATCACAAAATCAACCAGGTTGGAAAAGACCTTTATATCAAGTTCAACCATTAGCCCAGGACTGCCAAGTCCACCATTAACCATGTCACCAAGTGTTTCCTATAGAAACAGAGATTATGAAAAGATTTTACAGCGCCCAGATACAAACATACTTTGTAAATCAAGGAGCATTCGCTCCTTCACAAGATATTACTGATTTTATAGTTACATGATTACCTGTACCAAATAGGTATAGCCTGGTATATATACCAAACTGGGCACACCATTAAGGTGCCACAGAAAGATGACAACCCTGTCCTTTCAGCAATTGACACAAACCAGGAAGATTCCTCTACAAAGACCATCCACTTGAAGTGAGACAAGAAAACGATCCAAACTTAAAATGCAGTCAGAAGTATCCTTCTGACCAAGTCTAAGATTTGTGACCTTGTAATTCAGACAAACCAGAAAAGACAAGGGAAGCACACTCCCTGATAAGAATATGACTATTTGGCACACACAGATCATCATTTTCCCCTGTTCACCCCATTTCCTGCCAGATGGCTCCCAGAGGAGCAAACATACCTTCTACCAGGTATCACACCGCTGCCAGAAGATCTTATTAAAGGTTTTCGAAGAGGGGAATGCTGATAGGTTTGCTCTTCACTGCTTTGCCTTCCTTCATCTTCACCTGCTTTCTTCTCCTTGGATGAAAACTCTCTTTTTGCTGGACCTGAAGTGACATATAAACATGAAGCCGGGTACTTGCCACTTTAAACAACAACTTTTTCCCCCATGGTGGTGCTGTTTAACAGTTTGCTTCAGAAAACAAAATATCAAAACAAAACTATTAGAAAATAAAACTAAGAGTCAGTTTTGGACACGTATGCAAAACTTCCAGGACAACTTGAAGCGGTACTGAGTAAGTCTACCAGTTGCTAGTCAGCTTCACTGTTCTATAAGAAGCATTTTTCAGTAAACCATCACTTAGCAATACCAATAATTGGTCAGCAGATGAAGTCTGACCATTGTCCGAATTCAAGTCCTTTCAGGGCTGGTATATAATCCACAAGCCATAATTCTGTATGGGATATGAAATCCATTTCACTTACAATAAATCACAATTCCCAGTGCTCCGGCTGAAGCACGTTAAGCATTTATTTCACATACCCAAGCTTAGGCTGAGGCTGGTGTGACTTCTCAAGAGTTATACCTTCAAAGGCAAACAGGCACCCCTACAGCTGCTGCTTCAAAATGCTCATTCTCAGGAAGACAACTCCGCAGCTATTCACTGTTCGAAGGCAAGTCTGTGGTTGGTCAAAGCTGTGGCGAACCATTCATCTGCTGCCAGATGAAGCCTAAGCCCAGGCTAGGATCTCCAAAGCACACATGCAGCCCTTACAAAGCTAAGGAATAGGAAGCACTTGACAACTTGACATCTCCTCTTGCCCTAATTCCAATTCAGGTTTTCCACTGCTGAACTCAGTTCTCTGTAGTCTGTTCTCTTTTTGGTTCAAGTAGTATGCAATTGTTGATACGCCACACAGCAAGCTCAACACCCCAGACACTCACTCCAGAGGTCTCTTTACTTCAGTTCTCAGGAAGCCCACATGCCAGGCTAGGCTCTGAAGTGGGCAGCAAGGCATTTGAAACTGGGTTTTCTTACACCCACAAAGATCGTCCTACTTCTAGATAGGAGCACAAAATTAACATCACCCATGTGTTAACAGCCTTAACAGGTTAATAGCCTTAATATTAACACTTAACAGCATAATGGGGGCCAACAAAAAATCTGGAGAGGGCCTTCTGACAATGACCTATAAGGACAGGACAAGGAGGAATGACTAAGTTCAAACAGAGTGCAATCTAATTAGAAATTAGGAATAAGTTCTTCCATGTGAGGGTGCTGAGGAGCTGGCACAGGGTGCCCAGAGAAGCTGTGGCTGCCCCATCCCTAGCAGTGTTCAAGGCCAGGTTGGACACAGGGCCTTGGAGCAACCTGCTCTAGTGGAAGGTGTCCCTGCCCATGGCAGGGGTTGAAGCCGGATGATCTTTAAGGTCCCTTCCAACACAAACCAGTCTGGGATCTAGAATTATACTTTGGGAGCTTTAGCATTCCTATATGGAGATCATTTTAGCACAAGAGGAAACAAGAACGGAGCAGAAGGCACACCATTCATATATCACTCAGTAATCCTATCTGGAAACACAGACTTACTTGTTTTCTTCTTTTGCCAAAATGTTACTATATCTTTGTGCAACTCTTTTGCTTTTTTTCTGGCAAGAGCTGCAGAGGCCTGAAAGAAAACAAAAGCAGAGCATGAAAACTTGAAAACCCATGAGCATAACCCCAAAATAGGCAGTGCAGGTTTCGCCAGAGAAACATTTACCAGTTTCTGTAAGGTTCTGGTTACCCCATTTTAGCTTCTCACTTAAGACCTGCATGCAATTAGCAGGACTGACTTCCACAAAAATTCCACAAAAATTCCAAGAGCTCCAGTAACCTTAGAGCCCAAAGATGTGTTTTTAAGCAGAAAACGGGAACAGACTGTGCAGTCTCTGAACCAGCTTCTCAACACATCTCAGCATTGAGGTAACAGCAGTGCTTCCAGCAAAAAGGTCACTCTGCAGAGATTACCCAAGTTTACCTCACCTTTGGTGCTGCTGAGCCCCAGCAAGAGAGCAGCACCATGTGTAAATCAGGTTTGGTCATAAAGAGACAACAAACAGGAGATCCATTTGGTATTTGAGCTCGATGCTAGCAGGGCAGCTCAAACCAGGCAGAACTCCGGCAGTTACCATGCCTTAGGTGCAGTTCAGTGTGCTTCCACCCGTCTGTAACACGGTGCTCACAATACAAAACTTTCTGCCAAGTGAAAACCACCCCGGCACCACCACAGGGATGCAGTTCTCACTGCACCCATCCCAAGCACTCAAACTTGAACCTGTTCTTGTGCCAATTGCTTCCAGTACTCACATGATCAAAGAAGTGGATAATGGCCATTTTCTTATTGCGCCTGGTCATGACCCGCCGGACTTTCGCGAACTGGCCGAAGTGCTTCTCCAGCACCGTCCTGTCGTTGAGGTAATCGGGGACGTTCTTGCACTGGATGGCGGTCAGGTCACTGGGCGACAGCCCCCCCAGAGCCTCCATGCTCTCGCTGCCCCGACCCCGGCGGGCAGGGGTCACGGCGGCGGAATCTATGAGAAGGGAGGCAGCGACCTCAGAGCGCGCGGTGACACGGGGGTACACGGGGTGACACGGACCTCCCCCCGTCCCATCCTACCTTCCCGAGGCGGGTCCCGGGCCTCGACCGGCGACGTATCTTCTGTGGGTCCCCGCTCGCCCTCGGCGGCTTCCCCGCGGTCGCGCTGGCCGCGGCCCTGGCTGCGCAGCATCTCCTTCAGCATGCGGCCGAAGAGCGCTCCGCCGCGGGGCCGGCTCAGCATCACCGCCCGCTTCTCCGGCGGTGCCGCCGCCGCCCGTCCGCTCGCCGCCGCTGCCCGCCGGGGAGAGCGCTCCCGCTCCTCCTTCCGCTTCAGGCCTTTGGACGCCGGCTCGCCCGGCTCCTCAAAGAGCGGCCGCGGGCCTTTCTCCTCCTGCCGGCCCAGCGCGGCGGCGGGACGCGAGAAGGAGAAGGGTCCCCCCGCCGTCACCTCCGGGCTCGCCTCGGGCGCGAAGCCGAAGGGCGGCGAGAAAGTGAAGGCAGCAGCGGGGCCCTTCTCCGCCTCGCTGCTCGTCAGCGGCTTGAAGGCGGCGGCGCTCTCGGGCGCCTTGAAGCGGAACTCGGGCGCCGCGAAGGCCCCACCGCCGCCCGGCGCCTCGCTCGGCCCCGGGAAGCTGCCCAGGTTGGTGGGCGGCTTGAAGCTGAACCCCGCGTTGCCCGCCGGGGCACTGCCGCTGCCCGCCGCCGTGAAGGCCGGCGCCTGGCCTAGCCCGATGGGCGGCCCGAAGGCAGAGGGCCCCGTGGTGAAGGGGAGTCCAGGGGCCGCACCAGCCTGCCCGAAAACGGCGGCCTGCCCGAAGCGCAGGGGCGGCGGGAAGGCGGGCGGCCCGCGGAACGGGCCCCCGGCATTCATGGCGGCGGGCGGGCGGCCACTTCTTCTCAGCGGGCGGGGTACCACCGGCGGGGCGGGACGGAACGGGGCGGTAAGGAAGAAAGGGGCGGGCAGGGTCGTGCCGCCACCGCGGTCGCCATCATGAGCGTGGCGTTGCGGAACGCCCAGCGGGCCGTGCCGGTGCGCCGTGCCCCGCTCCGCCGCGCGGTGTGCGCCCTGCGGGCCGCGCTGGGCGCCTCTCGCTTCGATGTGGGGCTGGTGTGCGCCGGAAACGGGCTGATGAAGCGTCTGAACGGCGCGTACCGGCATTGCCCGGAGCCCACCGACGTCCTCTCCTTCCCCTTCCACCGGGTGGCGCCGGGGGAGCTGCCGCTGCCGCGCTGCCGCGACGAGTACAATCTGGGGGATATCTTCCTGGGGGTAGAGTACATCCATCAACAGTGCCGCGACACCGGGGAGGACTTCGACAGCGTCCTGGCGGTGAGCGCCGCCGCGGGCAGCGGGGCCGCCGGGCCTCCCGCTGCGGACAAGGGCAGCGTGCGGTGTCCCATGGGGGATAGGGTAGCGGCTGCCGCTTTGCTAGCCCGGCCCGGCTGAATAAGGAGGTTTACCCTTGGAAGGTTAACGCTGTGTTTTAAAGCTTACTTAACTGCGGGAGGACACTGCCTGGGCTTTGTCCCTCTGCAAGGCAGAGTACTGTTTTTTCCCTGCTGCAAGTAATGGCAAAATGGGAAATGATGGGGTACGGGGCTAACCCTGGTTATTTCTCTTACAACGGGGCTGTGCGGTGTTGGGGTGAAGTTTCATGATATCACAGACTGATTTGGGTTGAACGGACCTTAAAGCTCATCCAGTTCCGACCCCTGCCACGGGCAGGGACACCTTCCACTAGAGCAGGGTGCTCTGAGCCCCTTTCCAACACGTCCTTTATTCTCGTGTCTCTTTGCACAGGTGACGGCAGCCCACGGACTGTGCCATTTGCTTGGCTACCAGCACAACACAGAAGCCGAGTGGCAACAGGTACGGCGATGCCCGGCACACGGCACCGGTGTGCGGTGTCCGGCTGTGTCTCGTCGTGGAAAGCATCCTCTTTTGTGACCGGGAAGCCGCGGGCCCCGCGGCCCTGGCTCGCCTTGGACGCCGTTAACCCAGCGGCGCTGACGGTGTCTCCTCTCCCGCAGATGTACCAGAAGGAGATGGAGATCCTGCAGGAGCTGAACCGCCTCACCGGCGCCAGCCTCCGGCCCCTCACCGCGGGCCTCTTCTGAGGGGGCCGCCCCGAGGGGCCGGGCCGCGACCGGTGCCGCCCCGGACGTGGCGTGGCGTGGCGAGGGGATGGCGGTGCAGGGTTCTGGATGCCGCCTCCCGCCGCCGCTGGTGCTGCTGGGCTTCGCCGTGCTCGTCCTTTCTCCGCCCGCCGCCGCGCAGCCCCCCCTCGACGCTCTCCGCGCCGGCCACGCCGCGTCCTCGCTGCCCGCCGCCGCTGCCGCGCCGCGCACCAGGTGAAGAGCGGGTTCCCCCTCGGTCACTGCGGGCCTCAGCGGCAGCACACCCGACCCCGGGGCTCTCCTGTCATCGCAGCCTCCCTGCATGGTGTCCCGAGGGAGCCTCTCTGAGCCGAGGTCTTCCGTCATCTGCTGCTGCTGGGTTTGCTTTCTGAAAGATGCTGTAGCCGTCACAGGGGCTTTCCTGCTCTGAGTGTGGCCTCAATTGCACCCTTTTCCCCTGTCCCTCCTGAATGTGTACTCGCACCTTCACTTTTGGTGCACAGGAGTTAGGCTGAGTAACGTGCCAGTCATTTCACCAGTCGTACCACATACCGTGTACTGCTCTGGACAGGCAAGACATCAGAGGGTTTGCTCCTTGAGGCCCCGCATCCTGCCCCTCTGCAGGAAAGGCTTATGATGCTGTGTTCTGTTTTGAACTCCTCACTACAAGAGAGACATTGCAGAGCTGGAGCATGTCCAGAGAAGGGCAGTGGAGCTGATGCAGGGCCTGGAGCACAAGTGTGATGGGGAACAGCTGAGTGACCGGGGGGTGGGGGTTTAGTCTGGAGAAGGGAAGGCTCAGGGGGGGACCTTATTGCTGCCTACAACTGCCTGACAGGAGGATGGAGCCAGGAGGAGCTGGGCTCTGCTCCCAGGGAACAAGGGGTGGGACAAGAGAAAACGGCCCCAAGCTGCACCAGGGCAGGTTTAGATGGAGCTGAGGAACAATTCCTTCCCCACAGGGTGCTCAGACATTGGAACAGGCTGCCCAGGGCAGTGCTGGAGTCACCGTCCCTGCAAGTGTTCATACACCATGTAGATGAAGCCCTGAGTGCCATGGGTTAATGGTGGCCTTGGCAATGCTGGGGTAAGGTTTGGACTGGATGAGCTTATTAAAGGTCTTTTCCAACCTGACTGATTCTGTGTATCACCTTGATGATGTCCCCTGAGGAGACTCCCAGCCACTACAGTGCACACCACTGCCTTCCCCTGCTTCGTCCCCTTCCATCTTCTGAGTACCACAAATTCATGAAAAAGGAACAGCCTCCACCTTAGTACAGTTGCGTGACATCATTTTGGGGTAAAGATTAAAACACACCTACAAGTTTTAAGCTCTTTGAATTAGTTATACTGCTTTGTTCTTTGCAGATACCTTTTGTATGATGTAAATCCTCCTGAAGGGTTTAACCTCCGCAGAGATGTGTACATTCGCATTGCTTCCCTTTTAAAGACCTTGCTGAAAAGTGAAAACTGGGTGCTAGTTCTGCCTCCCTGGGGACGTCTTTATCACTGGCAGAGCCCCGACATCCTTCAGGTCCGGCTCCCTTGGTCTGAGTTCTTTGATCTCCCAAGCCTCAACAGGAACATTCCTGTCATTGAATACGAGCAATTTCTTGCAGGTAGAGTATGGAATCATACAGTCTACACCTGACTAAATATATAAGGTGGTTTCTTCGCAGGTTTATCCTTACGTATATACTGTTATATGTGAAATAAAATGCCACATCTCTGCCAAGAGCGCTGAAGGGATCTCTGTTCCTTAGGATTTAGAAACCCTGATACTTTGGGGAAAAGGGCTTGTACTTGTCATTTTCTTGGAGGCAGTCTTCCCACAGAAGCTGCCTGCAGCCCTGAAAACCTCTGTGCCTCATGGTGTGTTTTACTTAGTTTCTAAATGTACATTCCCGTGGTGATTCAGTTCTGTGTGGCACATTAAGTCACTCATAGCTGAGAGTAACAGGCTGTGACATCTCCTGGCCCTTTGAGCTTTTCTGGCTCACACAGAACTTTTTTTTTATAGGGAACAGAGGAGTGTAGTCTAATGTTAGCATTTCTAGCAGAGTTTTAACTGCAGGCAGTGCTAATTTATACCTTTATCATGGTTTTTCATGCTCACAAATGCTTTGCCTTCTGCTCAGAGTCAGGTGGGCCCTTTATTGAACAGATTTACGTCCTACAAGGCTACGCAGAAGGATGGAAAGAAGGAACATGGGAAGAAAAAATAGATGAAAGGCCATGCATTGATCAGCTTATGTACTCCAAAGACAAACACGAGTACTACAGGTAACATCTAGCTGTCCTTTTAGTCTTCGTTTTAGTTGTATTTAGTGAGACATTTGCCTGTGAATCAGTATTTTGTGTTCCCTTTCAGGGGATGGTTCTGGGGTTACCAGGAGACACGGGGCCTAAACGTCTCTTGTTTGTCTGTTCAAGGATCTGCCTCTATCGTGGCTCCCATCCTTTTGAAGAACACTTCAGCACAGTGAGTTGCCTTGTGTTACTACTTTTGTATTGTGTGCCCACAGAAACATTGCCAAGTGTGAAGAGCAGGGAGAGGTTACAGGCTATGTGTCACTGTTGTGGTACTTCATCACTGAGTTACTACAATCCACTAAAGTCATCACAGAGGAATTTACAGTGTAAGAAACACCTAACTGTAAGTTAGGGTAAATGCTGCAGTGCTAGAAGCTAGGAGGAAGTAGCCTTGAGCTCCTTTATGTTCTTTCTCCAGTAGCTAAATGTCCTTGCCACCTTGTGTTTATCTTTCCTTCCTTTATCCTTCAATGCTGGGTTAAGAGGGAATGAGCAGAGTGGAATCAGTGTTTCCCAAGCCCACATCTCGGATCACGAGGTGTAGTGCCTGGTCTCCTGTGATGTCCATCCTCAATAGTGCAAGCTGGGTTTAGAGAAGCAAGCAGCATGCTTTGTCTTTCTGCTGTGAGATGCCACAAGGATAACCAAAGGAAAAAAAGGCAAAGCTCTTACATGAGAGATGGAGCTAACATTATCCCAACTGTTGGCTGAACACGTGCTAGGTGTTGGCCATTTGTTGGTTCATTTTGTCCTGCTGTTCCATTCCTGGATATTTCCTATGGATGCTTTGGTTTAAGACACATTCTCTGATGAGTTCCCCTGTAAAAAGTAGTTCTGGCTTATGAATCTTCCCAGCTCCACCACCTAGTGCAGAAATTCACATGAGATGTTTCTGTTGTGATGTTGTGTCTAAGTGCTCGTTAAGCCTTTAATTCCCTATCTCTTTGTATTGGAATGAAGACCTGTCATTAGGATTGAAGGCTTTTATTTCTTCATGATCAAATTCTTTTTTTTACTTTATCATCTTTTACTGTTTAGCTTCATGGAGTTTATGAACCTTTCTGTTTTCTTCACTTGGACACTTCTGCACTTTTGCATAGTCCCCTGTTTGAAGCTGAATGCAACTGCAGTAATGTTCCTTTGGCCATTGTTGATCCAGTAGGGTGTTGAAGAAGAGTACATTTATGGCCCCTGTAACAGGAACTCTTCCACTGTGAGATTTTGGGCCGTGTCTTCCTGCTGCTCAAGACAATGTCAAGAGCTGCTCCCTGCCCAGTTGGTTGATGGACCTGTCTTTGAGAATGTCTCAAACTGCAGTTGCTTAATCACATCCTGCTGTGACACTTGCCCTGCCTACCTGGCGATATGTGAAATCTCTGATGGCTATGGTGACCTGCACCTCTCTGATCTCCCTTATTGCCCTTTTGGACAGACAATTAGTTGTGTGGTCGTAGTCCTATACTATAACTCTTCAGGTGTGTAATCTGATTCATCTCCAAACTTCCTGTTAAATGCAGTGCTGCTTCTCCACCAGCACAATCTAGCCTGTTTTCCAGATTAGCCTTATGTGCAAGTGTCCAGTTGATTATCAGCAGTGATAATCTGAAGTTGATTTGTTATTTGCTTCCTCTCATTTTAGTAGAAGGTCCAGATAATGACTCTGACCCCCTTCAGCAGAAGCATTTCTGTGTGTGTTCGCTTATATTCAGTGTGCTCAGAGCATAGACTGAGCCTACATCCCCTGTGTTCTTGGTTACTCAAAACTCTCTTCTGCTTCTTCAAACTTCGATAGTGCAGTTATGCTTCCAGTACATGATCCTCAACTGTGTGTGTTTATGAAAAGCAAAGACTGTTCATTTTCATTTTAGTGCTTAATTGCTAACACATGTTTTTGTAGTGTCTGTGTCTTCTTTGATCTGTTGTTTTCCTGCAGGATATTTTATTCCACACGTGGAAAACGTAATCTCTGGTTTTACTTTTGTGAGCATAATCCGTGCTTCCTGCAAGAGGCTATCATATGCTCAGAGGCCAGGCATCATCTTATAGGTCACTTTTCCCCTTTGGATCACTCTCCCTGTTGGCAATCTTATTTCTCAGCAGCAGCTACTGTGAGGACTATGTGAGGAATTATTAATGCTTGTTTGTGTTTAACTGTCATAATTAAGAGCACCACTTAATAAGGAAGAGAGCAGGAACACACAGTGGCACGGTTCCCTTCTCTCCCAGCAAGTAATGGGTCACAACATGCTTTACACAGAACAGATTGGCATCCTATCCCTCATTCCCCTCTGTGTTCCCTTTGCAAACAGATCGTAGCCTGTGTTTTGTCCTAGCAACTGTATAATCATAATTTACATTCTATTCCTAAGGGCACTGCACTCAGTTTTACAATTTTTAATAGGTCAGTGATGTTAGACAGAGCTGAAAACCTTCTTCATGACCACTACGGAGGGAGAGATTACTGGAATGTGAGTATTTTCCAGCCAGCTTCTCTAGCCTTTCTACTTGGTTCTAATAACAGTTCAGTGACTGAGACGTGCTTCAGTTTTGCTCTGGGTTTCTTCGACTAACTTCTGTCTTATGTTTCAGCAATGTATGCTAAAGATGGTCTTCAGGCTGCTGTGAATTAATGTAATGCATTAATGTCCTGGTGTCTTGTCCCCAAAGACTCAGTGGCACAGGACAACATGTCTGCAGTGAGAAGGGATCTGCCTTTGTGCAGTTTCTTCCCTGGGCAGCCTCAAGACCAGGGTTTTCAAAGGAATTCCTGAAAATGCTTAATATTGTTTGTTGTAACTATCCCCCCATTGGCTTCGAAGGCAAAATTCCCACAGGTTTTAAGGAAACACTGAGCACTTTGGGAGGCCCCAGCCAAGGGGTCTGTGGTGAAATAATTGCTACATGAAAAATGTTAAGGCAAAGTGAAGGTTCAGCCATGGGAAAACTGAACACAGTGTGGAGTGCTTGATATTTGTAACATTTCTAAGAGAAAGTGACTCTCATGTTACTAATAACTTACATAGACCTCAGTCTTGTAAAATACAAACATAGAATCATAGAGTCCACTGGGTTGGAAAAGACCTTTAAGATCATGGAGTCCACCTGCTACCCAAGGACTGCCAAATCCGCCACTAAACCATGTCCACATCTGACTACTCACTTGGTATATGGCATATTTTGTCAGAAATGGATCAAACAGTAGTTTGCTAATTACTGTTTTTCATTGAAAGTGACTTTGCAAACACAGAAATGCAATCTAGGTACTCATTTCAGAGTCTGTAAAAGCAGATGTAAAAGCCATAACACACATTTCTTACTAGTGGCACTATAGATATCATCACCTCAGCGATTTTAAACTTGTCTCAAAATTATTTAACACTAGGAATAGGCTTCTTTCTTTTATTTCAGTTTTTAACAACCTGCATGGGTTTCGGTGTTGGCTTTTTCCTCAGTAACTCTGTGGATAACATCTGGGGTTCTTTTTAATCTTGCTGAAAGATGCCCTCCTGTTTCAAAGAGGTTTACAAATTGGAACAAGCCAGGTTTGGAGGTGATTGACACAAGCACAGCATTCGAAGATGTTCATTGTCTTTCCCAGTGCACTGCTCTTGCCATGGGTGGTGTACATGTTTGCTGCCCCTTGGGCATACCATGTTCGTCATGGCTTGGGTAAGGTACCCAAAGGCTTGACTTGACAGGAGTATTGTGTTGACATCTTACAAAAAGGAGGGAAAATGTCTCTGAACTGCAGTGTGAGCATTCTGCAGCAGACACTGTGTGCATCCTCCCTTGGTAGAGAATCATAGGATCATAGAATGGATTGGGTTGGAAAGGACCTTAAGATCATTCAGTTCCAGCCCCCTGCCATGGGGACAGACAATGTAAAATGTATAAATATAAATGTTTTGCCAGAGGATTTGGAATTTGAAAAGCAGAGCTGATCTCTTTAAAGGTGCTAGCAGAGCAGGCTTTTTACTTCCATTAAATATCAAGAGGGGCATAGATCTCCAGGTACCAGTGTGATGGATTTAAGAGAAGCCTTAAATTGCTCTGTATCTTATTGAATGGTCTGGAGAAACCAGTTCAACCACAGTGAGTTCGGCATATTGAGAAATAGCTGCTCTGGGAGAAGGTAAAAAGAGGCTGGCAGGTTCTAGTTCATAGATCATAGGCTGGTTTGTGTTGGAAGGGACCTTTAAGATCATGCAGTTCCATCCCCCTGCCATAGGTGTTTTTTGTCTTACAGGTGTTTTGCAAGCTGAAGTCTTTGCCCAGCTTGTGTTTCCAAAGGTGAGGTACATTGCTAGAATGTTTAATTTGGTATATTAGGTTCTCTTATATAGATAACTACTGTATTGCAGGGTCAGACACATGTGCTGGTTATAAACATAGTTATGAGTAGGGTTAAACAGTCAAAGCTCAGATGAAAGGTTAGAAATTGCTGCTTGCAGTGCTGTATGGATGTGTCAGAAGTAACTGCATCCTGGAAGCTCTGTGTATGTGAAACTGTCTCCATTTGGTCATTTTCAGCTCTCCCTTTTTCTCACTCCACATCTGCTCTTATTCCAACAGACCCGTCGGAGCATGGTGTTTGCTAAACACCTCCGTGTAGCAGGAGATGAGTTTAGGAGCAAATACCTTCAGTCCACCGATGAGGCAGACAGGACTCACTACAATGAGGACTGGACACAGATGAAGGTAAAATCACAGCAGTCTGTTTCCCATAACAAAGGTAATGATTTGTTTCATTTGTGTACTCCTGGCTGTACACTGCAGGGAATACTGGAAGAGCCATGTGAATCTGGCTCTTCCTGCTCAGGTTGAGGTGCTTGTGCATGTTTCAACTGTACCCTCTTCTCCCTTATGACATGAGATAATGGAGACTTAGGGGTGCCAGGTTTCTGTTGCTGTCGTTTCACTTGTATTTCTGCTTATTGTTTCCCCAACTGCCAGTTGGGGATTTGGTCAAGGAGAGCAATATTTGCATACAGAGATTTCAAACTCTGGTTTCTCTTGTATAATGCAGGTCAGCCATGGTCAAAACATCACTATGTGTCCCAAAATACCACTACCCCCTACGTCCAAGTTACTTTCTGCAGCTGGTGTAGTTCAGTGCCACATCCAGAGATTCAGGCCTTTTCAGTGTGAATGAATAGTGGTGGTCTGGAGTCTTAGGGCTTACTGATCTTTCTCTCTTAGGTTAAGATGGGCACAGCTCTAGGTGGTCCATACCTTGGGGTTCATCTCAGAAGGAAAGACTTCATCTGGGGTCACAGAGAAGACGTGCCTTCCCTGCAAGGAGCTGTAAAGAAAATCCACAGCCTCTTGGAGATGCTTAAACTTGAAAGAGTTTTTGTAGCCACTGATGCTGTTGAGGAAGGTAAGCAGGTTATAGTCAGTTCAGGATTGATAACTTTTGACAAGGGCTGCTGTTACCACTCTGCTTTCATAAATGACTGGAACTTCATGTGCCTCCATCACTGAATGGGGAATTGAACAGGATTGGGCAGCTGCTTCCTTCCAGCTTGAATACCATTCATTTGGTGTTTCCTATAGGAGGTTTGATGGTCTCTACTGTGGGAAACTGGGAATTGAATTTGCCAGATCCTCCTTCCAGTTCATTCCACCTTCTTCCTTAGCACTGCAGTCTTGGATGTACTGGTGGGAAGGGTCCTCTGAAGTCACCACCCCGCCTTCCGCTTGGTTGCCCCCAGCGCCACAACGGGGTGGACCTGGCTATGTGTGGCCAAGGCTTAGACACCCCCAAGGGTGGGCTTCACCTCCCAGGCCTTATCCCAGGGCTGCACCTCCCTCCTCGTAATACCTAGGGATCTGTTTCAATGTGGGATGTTAAAGTAACCCTGAAGGGCATGGCATTGGCAATAGCAAATCTGAAGCTTTCTGTCAAGAAAGGCCTCTTGGTACAACTACCCTGTAGGATTTGACAGCAAGGCTAGTGTTCTAGCCCTTGCAGGCTTCCCCACCCTTGAGAATTGCTCCCCTCCACACCATGGTCCTGCCCCAATGTGTCCTCTCCCTTTGCAGTACTCTGACATTGGCAAACATTGTAAGGGAGCTTTTGGTTTCTCTTGCTTTGTAACTGTCCACCGAGGGTTTCCTTGAACACGTTTTATGTCTGCAGCAAGTTGCTCTTTACAATGCCAAACAGATTTGTATCTTTTCCTTTTCCAGAGATTGAATTGCTCAAGAAACTGCTGCCTGAGATGGTGAGATTTGAACCCTCATGGGAGGAGCTGGAGCTCTACAAAGATGGGGGCTTGGCTGTGATTGACCAGTGGATCTGTGCACATGCAAGGTAGCAGATTTGACTTTATTGAGGAACCAAATCTTAGTGTCACAAAACTGAGTATAGCTTTTGGTCCAGATGTAGATGTTTGCAAATCAAATATGACATGATTTTATATAATTGATTTACACCTGTAATTGATGTGTAATAGGTCATAGGCTTGCCAAGCTGGGGAAGAAGGCAGTGAGTCCAGAGGAAGCCACGGGGATGCTGTGAGGGCTGGAGCAGCTCTGCTCTGGAGCCAGGCTGAGAGAGCTGGGCTGGTTCAGCCTGGAGAAGAGAAGGCTCCTTAAGGGGAGACCTTAGAGCAGCTCCAGTGCCTAAAGGGGCTACAGGAAACCTGGAGAGGGGCTTTGGACAAGGGCCTGTAGGGACAGGACAAGGGGAATGGCTTTAACCTGCCAGAACAGGGGAGATTGAGATGAGCTCTTAGGCGGAAGCCCTTCCCTGTGAGGGTGCTGAGGCGCTGGCACAGGGTGCCCAGAGAAGCTGTGGCTGCCCCATCCCTGGCAGTGTTCAAGGCCAGGCTGGACACAGGGGCTTGGAGCACCCTGCTCTAGTGGAAGTGTCCCTGCCCATGGCATGGGATCAGGAGAGCTTTAAGGTCCCTTCCAGCACAAAGCAGTCTACATTTCTATGATAACAGTTACATTGTGTGTATATACATCATACATCTGATAATTTCATTTTCATATAATTTCAATGATCATTAAAGTTCGTTGGACTGAAATCAATCACTTCCATTTTAAAACTTTGCCCCTTCACAAACTCTTTCTGCTTTCTTTTCCCAGGTATTTTATAGGCACCTCAGTTTCCACGTTTTCCTTCCGGATCCATGAAGAAAGAGAGATCTTGGGATTTGATCCAAAAACAACTTACAACCGGTTTTGTGGCGAAAAGGAGAAAAACTGTGAGCAGCCAACTCACTGGAAAATTGTGTACTAAAGTACAGAGAATTCCAAGGACTTCAGCACTGGTGAGCACAACAGAATAAGGAAACACCCCAGGGAAATCCCTCCTTTTGACCAAAGTACAGCTCTGTCCTCTACCCTCTTCTTGGTGATTACTTGATCTTTTTGCTTTGAAGAACAAGCAATACTCACCTTCTTAGGCAGGGATGTTAGCAAGAAAACTGCAGTCAGCCTGGGATCCAGTACTTGTCATAGACACAAACAGAGAACCACCAGACACTGCAAGTGAGACTTGAGAGGTAAAACTTTGTCCTGAAACCAGGCACCAAACTAAGTAAATCACAGCTTTCTTTAGAGTTCTGAGGAGGAAGAGGGGCGGTTTTAACTTTTATAAGTTAAAATACTCTATTTCTGTCTTTATTTTTTGTCCTGTTCAGTGTTTGCCTCTCTGATGGCAAAAAAACCCACATCTTCTTTTGTGACCTGCACTACATGAGGTGCAAGTTGTGTGGAAACTGTCATTCTCTGGGGAAATCTTCCATCTTCAAGCAGTATTTTGTGAACATTTAAATTGTCTGATGCAGTCAGTGCTTGACAAAAGAAAAGGAGGAGGTGTTTTGACCTGAATACCAACTGCATTAACAGTAGCTTCAGTGGGTCTGTGCTGAAAGGGGCAAAATGATACAGGGCTTGTAGGCTGGTAAGAGAAAGGTTCTGTCTATTGTTATGTTTTACCTTCACAAAGGAAACTCTTTCTGCCCATCGTAGTCCTTCCAACAGCCTTCTCAGTTGCACTGATGCAGATGTCAGCACCCTTTTGGGCACACCCAGTTGCTCAGGTCAGTGAGGGTGATGGGTTGCTGGGGAGCAGGGAAGTTTCCATGTCAGTCACGTGGGTTGTCCCAGTGATTCAGTAAAGGAATTTTCTGCACTTCTCCCTTGCACAAACTGAAAGGAGTAAACTGAGGACAATCACAGACAGGGAAGGTCCCTGGGCCTTGAGGAGATGTGCATAAACCGTCTGGAACGTGGTAGGTGAGGTTGTGCTCTGATGGAGATGCTGGTTGGTACAGGGGAAGAACCCTCTGCTACACCACCAGCCACAAGTGAAATGCACCTCCTGTTTGAGGAGGGCTTTGTAGAGGTATCTGTTGCAGCTCTTGCAGTCTCCTGCTCTGCAGAATTGGCTGCTGGGCAGTATTCTGCTTCACGCTGTGCTTCAGGTGGCTCTTTCACTCTGCAGGTCTACAGAGCTCTGTTAAGCAGGACAAACCTTTCTCAAAAGTGGCCTAGGAGACAGGTTCAAAAGGTGAAGCAGACACTGCTCCTTAAAGTCAGTATTACCAAATTACCTCACTGCCAGTGGACCCTTTTGCTCTTTCCTCTTGGCTTGAGTGGGAGCACATGGAACAGTCCTGCAGTGGACATCTCCCACATGCTACCAGACAATTCTGTTACTTCCTCCTGTGCAAATGCAGCAGAAGCTGGGCAGACTTCTCAGGCAGTCTCAGCACCAGGTCTCCTGTTCCTACCCCATGTATTCCTTCAAAGCAGTGCCTTTTTCCACAAAGTCAAATGTTCCCCTTTAACCTGTGCACGTGGAAAGCAGTGGTGGCATTTTCTGTGTTATGTATACCTCAGTATGACAATAAAAAGCTTTGTAGCATTTTATATGATTTGTCTGTCCATGCTGCTTCTTTCTAACTGTACATCTTGCTGTCTCCTGGCTCCAGCGTAGGTGAAACCTGGATAAAATCTGAGTGTCCTGACAAGGCTGCATTAGCAAGCACAGCTTACGTGGCCCTTGGCACTAGGAGACTGGTAAATCTCAGTGCCCCCACTGCCAGAAGGATGTAGACAAACAGGAGAGTCCAGAGGAAGGCTGCTAAACCCTGCCACAGGGGAACTTTGCACAGCCATGGTAGGAGCCTGCTGCGTTTGGTTTTAATACAATCTCTGTTATTGGCCATTGGGCCAGCATCAGCTTTCTGTCAGAAGGTGGAGACAGTAGACTAAGCTGGGATCAGCTGCAGAGCCTTGTGTCCGGATCCATGCTGGACCAGAGCAGCTTCTCCTGCAACCAATACTGGAGTAGGGTTTGTGGGTACGAGTAAATCCAATCAAAGCAAACATGGTTGCCTTTGAATGATGATAGTGCCTATGGACTAAGTTCACTGGTTGCTGAGAGCTAGATGTTGAGGCAGAAGTAATTTTCCCTCTTTTGGTAAACAGTTTCCTGCAGGGAATTGAAGATGTTGTTGAAGAAGCTGTGGCTGCCCCATCCCTGGCAGTGTTCAAGGCCAGGTTGGACACAGGGGCTTGGAGCAACCTGCTCTAGTGGAAGATGTTCCTGTCGTGGCAGGGGTTGGAACTAGAAGAGCTTTAAGGTCCCTTCCAACCCAAACCATGCTGTGAATCACAAGGATTCTGGGCATTTGCAAAGCCTGGAAATGAAATTCAGAGCCCAGGTTTTTGATGATAGAATCACAGAATGGTTCAGGTTGGAAGGGACCTTAAAACTCATCCCGTTCCAATGCGTGAGGCTGCTCTGTGCAGTCCCAAGCCTGGGATCCCTCCATCCATCCATCCCTTTCCCTTCGCAAAAGCTGTAGTTTCATAGATCAGGTTGGCAGCTTCAGCACTCTGCCCTCAGTTTACTTCTCCCTTAGCTCTTCCGGACATAACCAACACTACAACTTTAAGGATATGCACAGCATTTTGTGACGTTTCCCTTAGGGTTTTTGTGCTCCATTGTGATAGCACCATACAGAAACAATGATGAAACTTAGGAAGGACATAGCTCTTTGTATTTTCAAATCTCTGTACAACCATGAACTAAACAAAGCAAGGTAGTATGCAAAACAGTCATTGCTTAGGATAATCGATGGATTGTGCTGTATCTGAGAGTAGCCTTTAATATCCTTATACCGGGTAGGTAAAACTGTTGTATTCACACTGTCACATGGGAAGACTGGGGAAGAGTAACTGCTTAATGCAAATAATATACAGCAAGATCTATATATTTGGATGTATAAATATATATTCACACACACATTTGATCCTAAATTTGTTAAAGACAGCTCAGCCAAATGACAACACAACTTGCACTGGTATGAGAATATTGAGGGTATTAAAAACATCTAAACCACTGCAGCGACCTCAGCTGTGGATCTGTCCCTCCAGGGAACAGGAACTCTTCAACATCATTCCCCCTGCTCCCAGTACTGACACCATGGCTCTTAGTGCCTCTTTTCCAGACATAAGCATGTACCTACAAAACACATCTACCCCTAAGCCATCCAAATGCTGCTGGCACAGTTAATGGGCAACGGGACAGGCCTCTGGCTGCAAAGGTTCTGAAAACCACTCTACGTTGACAAGATCCAAGGAGGAATGTGGGTCCTACCTGTTCTCCAGCAGCTCTGACAGGCTCAGGCTTTCAGCCACAGCCCCGTTTCTGCAGCCTGGGCTGGTTTGCATCATTCTGACCATAACCAGCTCAACAGAAACAGGGCAAGAATTTGTCCTGTCAGCATTTTTCTGGGGGGTCAACCCAAAGTTGTTGAAAATGTTTCGGAGCACATGTTTACTTACAGGAACGGCAGCAAGTCCAATACACCTAAAAGCCTTGGATACAGAGCCAGCGGGACTGCCTGTGCTGCAGCGTCTCCGGGAAAGGCAGTGGCTGAGAAGCCCCCACTGCCCAGCAGACAATTCATATGCCACATGCTCCCCATTCTCTGCCCAAGGGTCTCTCCAGCAGACAGCAGAAATCCCATCCCATGCCATCATTCCTGCTTGGCATCACAGAATGAATCCCACACTGGGTTGGGTTGGAAGGGACCTTAAAGCCCATCCAGTTCCAACCCCTGCCATGGGCAGGGACACCTTCCACTAGAGCAGGGTGCTCCAAGCCCGTGTGTCCAACCTGGCCTTGAACACTGCCAGGGATGGGGCAGCCACAGCTTCTCTGGGCACCCTGTGCCAGTGCCTCAGCACCCTCACAGGGAAGAGCTTCTGCCTAAGAGCTCATCTCAGTCTCCCCTGTTCTGGCAGGTTAAAGCCATTCCCCTTGTCCTGTCCTTACAGGCCCTTGTCCAAAGCCCCTCTCCAGGTTTCAAAAGGCAGCGCTGCTCCTCCATCAAACACATGTTCTGCTCTGTTCTACCAAGCTCTGTGATCCAACAGCTTAAAATAAAGTACCTTTCACTGAGAGAACTGTGTGAGAGTTGGGTTTTTCCCTCAGACAGCTAGATAGTACTTAGGCATCCCAGAATGGGACTACAGAAATGCCATACCAGCTCAGAGATCCTCAAACTTTCAGCCACAAATCACTTCAGAGGATATGCAGAGTACACGCACAAATCACCTACTCCTGAGATTCCTATGCTGTAGAATCACAGAATAGGATCATAGAATGGTTTGGGTTGGAAGAGACATTCAGAGCTCATCTAGTCCAACCCCCGCAATGAGCAGGGACGTCTTCAACTAGACCACGTTGCCCAGAACCACATCCAGCCTGGCCTTGAATGTCTCCAGGGATGGAGCATCCACACCTCTATGGGCAACCTGTGCCTGTAACCAGTCATGGAAAGACTTCTTTATGGTGAGGAGGCCAAACCTGCCAACTGCACAGAAACCCCTGTTGGATATTCCTAAGCCTAGAGTCACATTTACCATCACTACATGAGGGCGGGTGGGCGCTGTGAGTGAGAGAACATCTGAGCTCTTGGGGGAGAACAGTTGCCAACCAGGTCCCACACTCGATACACTTCATACTCAAGTGTTAAGACAATCTATAGTTATATTGCCAGGTCCTGAGTACAGCCATGACCCACATTTCAAGTGTTCAACATTAGGCCCAAGTTTCCTTAAAATGATCCCATGGAACACATATATTTCAAACATCTATGTTTAAAATGATCTATTTTACTAACCTACAAACTTCATCCAGACTGTCACCTGGAGAAAAACACCTGAAATTAGATTTCAAGTATTCACCAACACGGAAGTTGTTGCTTTAAGTTATTTGAAGATCCTGAGACAAACACTCATATGCAAAGACAAGAGGAAAATAAATATGTTTAAAAGAAGCAAAGCAGCTCCCAGAGCAGCACTGTAGGTCCCAGTGCAAGCCAGCTCCCATCCATCCACCCACCCCCGGCTATTCAGACAAGACCCCAACCCACCATGGAGACATGCAGCTCCCAAAGGTCAGCCACAATGCTCAGCAGTTGTCTTGCCTTCTGCAGTCACTGGGCACTGTATAAATCACTGAATTCTTGCTCAGAGAGAGTAATTGTGAGGAACATGGGAGCATCAGCAAGCACAACCCTGCCACATATGAGGTGCACAAAAAGGAAGAAGCGAGTGAAGGAAGCCAAGCAGTACTTTATTGACTCCCAGAAGACAGATAGAGATTTGCATACAATCCTGGAAAACTTCTTTTATACTTTTTAAAATCCCGGAATTATAAACAAGAGAACTCATTCCTCATAAATAACCTGACACCATTCCTTCATCAAAAGGGTTTGGCATGGAACATTATTTCCTTTTACAGTTTTCAGTTCAGTCGTTCCTTAGAACAGTTTAAAAAACTATGTCTATAAATAATACTTAAATATATTGCTCATATTTGTGACTTCATAAAAAAAATAGCTTGAGCTAATACTTTCCTCGTCATCAAAAGAAAAAGACGATCCAGAGAGACACCAACTTTTGAATGAGCACTTCAGAAAGATGGGTGAAAATAACCGGCTGGAGGTTCTCAACAGGCTTCATTTATCAATAGACTGAGCCCCTTCAAAGTGGGTGTTTCACATAACTGCAGTAATGACTTTAAGAACAGCACACAATGTGAGCTCCATCTGTCCATACCCAACTGCAGCCACCAACTCAACTTCTGCACCACGAACGAGACAAGGTTGATCTCAAAGGCAGGTGCGCAAAATCTGACCACATACGGTTAAATCCCTTTTACCCTGAGGTCAGTCTAAGCCTCAGTTGGATGAGGAGGACCAAAGCTTTGTCAGGCTTGCAGAGGCCATGGGAATGATTTGGGGTTTAATGAGGAGTGGACAGGATGGCTGAAGTCACGGAGGAAGCTGGATGAACACAGCCTGTCTACTGCATCTTGTGACATTTGGTCCTCCAGCACCCAGAAGAGGCATCTGGAAGCATCAGACTTTTCCAAGGGGATCACTAAGCCACAGCCTTGCTGGCCTTCCCAGAGCTATTACCCATTACACCACTAAAACTGCATTGTCTGAACCTCAGCGTGTTACTTCCAAAGACACTAACCCAGAGCCTTCAACTAACGCACAAGTGATTTTCAGGCTTGATCACTCAGATTGGAAATGGGCTCCTACTTGAGCACTAATGAAGCAGCACATCTCTTGGCATTCATGCCTGGTACAAGTGGCTTTACATCTCCAACACCCCAAGTACTTGCTAACCCCCCCAGGAGGTGCTGGGATTGAGGGACAGTAAATCCAGTTACAGCTTCAGGACAGCCTCTGCCCATGAAGCTGACTGAAGGGACCCACAGCTCCTCTCCACTGCCTCTGCAGATGCACCGGCACAGCTCTAAACTGGATCTCTGACCCAATGTGGGTCTAAAAGTTACCCTTGACTCGACTTCAAAGCACGGACCAGCCCGCTGATCTGATGTC